GTAATCGTCACTCCCTTTTAATAATTACAATATTTAATTAGTTAAAATATTCCAATATATTCTAATACTTTTTGAGCGCCCCTCGTATTTGGAAATATAGATATTATGTTGAAACGGGAATTTGTCTCTGTCTGAGACATTCGATGGCTCAACCAATGATGCTCCTTTTCTAAAAATCAGTAATTACGGTCAGATGTTGTGCGCACGCCTGGCTTACTTATGGATTTGAAATACTTACGTTTCATATTCGATCGGCTCCTGCTTTTCTTTTCAATTTGGCTGCGAAATTAACCGGTTGAGTTTAGTGTTATTAAGTGTGTCCGAACAAACTAAGGTAATCAAATCACCTTTTTTTCTTATAATGAATGATAGAAATTAATTTTATTTTGTGTGTATATTCTGCTGAAATTATCTTTGAGATATTTCATTCATTAATAGTAAGCTTTTCGCGTAATATAAATTCCAAAATGTACAAAATGGCTGCCATTAATTTTATATTTTTTTTCTAGTCATTCATATTTTCTTTTGAAATTTAGTGATTTTTGTTTGGCACTGTGATCTTTAAAATTTTTTGTCCACATCTCTGCTTGTATTGACTTAACAATTGATGAACTCTGACGGATTGTTGGTGCTGGATGTCTGCTGTAAATGATGTTGAATATTTGGTTTGATCTTTGGTACAAAGTTTGGTCATTAGCGGTAACCTATGACTACTGTGGATGTTAACAGGCAATACCCAATGAACCTAATCGATGTGCCATTGGTTTGAATTTTTTCTTCTTTATCTTTTGTAGGGGCCTCTGGTACTAATATTTCGTTCGCTATTTGGTCATTGTTTGGTAGGTAACTTTGTTGGTCGGTATCGGTTTCTTTATCTTTTTGGGACCTTCAGTCCATATCTCCATGTATTCTTGCATATTTTTTTTAAGGCCCGGAAGCAATATGGGTGCGTTTGGGGTTCGGAGTGACTGCTTTAAATAGCAAGTACGTGTCCAGGGTATAGCGTTGGGGGGTCTCAGTTATGACCATGGCTGCAGTTTAAAGTTTCTACGGGATATCAGCGCTTGTACGTCCAAGGTGGGGCTGGGACTACTGCGACTGTGCCAACATGGTAGCCTATGTCACTCCAGGGATTCGAATTCAGTGTGTTGCTTCTGGTTAACCATTCAATATTAACCGTGTTTTGTTTTAGTATGCCCGCGTTAGTCTGACAGGTCTATATCCTGTTGGATGGTGCCTCGACACTTCCCTGGTGAATCCTTGCGTTGCTTGGTGTGCTTAAAAATAAATTTAACTCTACGTTTTGGTCTTTCGAGTTTTGGGGAAAGGCTTGAGTCTGAAGGTCACTTTTGCTGTCGGTTTAGTGTTTGGAGACACTCTGATGCTGTATGGTGGTGGTTAGAGAGACCAGCCACGACGCTATTTTCCATCTTAAGCGAGGCCCTCTCTAAAGTATCTCTGTTGTCTCTAGATTCTGGCTCGGCATTGGAAGTGATTGGACGTTCTTGCTGGAACCTTTTATATTTTTTTTTTTGTTTCCTTATATATAGAAGTAAATTACTCTATATATGAATGATCCTTATATTAGACGAGAGGTCTAATGGATGTTTCGGTGCTTTGGCCTGCCATTATCTAGCTGAAGTATCTTTTAGCTTGGCAGATGCTATAATTTGCTAGGGCAAAAAGTCCTTGGTTATATCCTAAATAAATGGACGGGCTATTGTCAATAGTTCTTTCTTTTTCTTTTCTAATTTTTGTAACCATGTGTTTCCGGACTCTCTAGTCATTTAATAATTATTTAATTTTTTCTTCGTCAGTTATAGTTGTTGTTATTTGGTTTGCAGGAGTTACTTTCTGTACAGTTTTGGATTTTTAGCTAATTAAAAAAATCTTTCATACTTCAAGATTTTTTTTGGGTGACTTGGTGGGGTGTGTTACGTTGTAATCGTCACTCCCTTTTAATAATTACAATATTTAATTAGTTTAAATATTCTAATATATTCTAATACTTTTTGAGCGCCCCTCGTATTTTGAAATATAGATGGTATGTTGAAACAGGAATTTGTCTCTGTCTGAGACATTCGATGTCTCAACCAATGATGCTCCTTTTCTAAAAATCAATAATTACGGTCAGATGTTGTGCGCACGCCTGGCTTACTTATGGATTTGAAATACCCACGTTTCATATTCGATCGGCTCCTGCTTTTCTTTTTAATTTGGCTGCGAAATAAACCGGTTGGGTTTAGTGTTGTTAAGTGTGTCCGAACAAACTAAGGTAATCAAATCACCTTTTTTCTTATAATGAATGATAGAAATTAATTTTATTGTGTGTGTATATTCTGCTAAAATTATCTTTGAGATATTTCATTCATAAATAGTGAGCTTTTCGCGTAATATAAATTCCAAAATATACAAAATGGCTGCCATTAATTTTATATATTTTTTTCTTCTCAGTTATTTTAAAAAATCTTTCCATTCTTCATGTGTTTTAAATTAAATACTATTGCAAATCTCTAATATTGTTGTAAACTTGAAATGTTCAATTTAAAAATGTTTAATTTAAATAGTAAGCTTTTATGGCTGACCACATGTTTTGTTTTTTTTTGAAGCAATGGAAAGATATGTTTTTTTTGTTGTAACTGACACGTTTTTTCTTTCTTAAAAATTAAGGGACTGGATCTGTAACAAACTAAGGAATTGGCCTTTATAATCCAGAACTGCAGAATCTCTTGAGCTTGTCAGCTGAATTGCCTCTAGAGCTGCGGAATCTCTTAAGTCATTGTGGGCTGAGTTGCGTCTGGAACTGCAGAGTGTTTTAAAGTCATCGTAGGCTCACGTACCATTAAGACACGGACCAGACCAGTTCGACCGTTGAAATCCGGAAACACAAGATAAGTGTCGGCCAGGACCACACACACAATTTTTGAGTCATAGTCACACTAGTCAATTTTAATTTTAAACTCATCATCAGTCAAACGTAAACCGTAAAATTTGTTAAAATCAATTAATTTTATTTTCTTTTATATGTAATATCAGTCATCAATCAAATTCGAAATTAAAGCCGATTAATCGTTTTGAAATTTAAATTCTTTATTTTTTTCTTACTTTCAACTGACAAGTTAATGACAAATTTACTTTTATTGTACATCTAAAGGTATGTCGTCCAAATTAATTTAATTGAATTCTTTTAAGTCTTTTTAATTAAAGACCTTGTCATTGACTTGAAGGTAAATTCTAAACGAATCCCACTGACCTATTTTGATCTGAGCTAGGCCTGAGGCTTGTAAGAATTCTTATTATAAGGATTTTTACAATGAGACCCAGGTAAGGGTTATCATCTGGTGCAAAATATGTTTTTATAACGTAACTTTGAAAACGTAACATTTTTAATAAAACGTTTTAAATATAAAACGTAACATTTTTATAAAACGTAACAGTATTTGAAAAATTTGACAAAATGTAAAAAACTCAAATTTTTATGAAAATTGTTTGAATAACAGTTATTTGTGATATAATTCTATATAATTTTTGTCCCATACATAATTTCTCTAAAATAAACCGTATTCGAGATATTTGAGAAAATGTGTATCCACGATAACTCATGAATGGATACAAAGAAAAACACCAAATTTTAAACTAGTCTTAATTCTCGCCTACCGTAAACTGATTAGATTTTGGGCAGACTCGAAACATCTGGGAGGGTACTTTATATGGGGTCATTTTTATATTTTATAAAATATATCTGGTATTTACGTTTGGAGAAGAAATTTTTTTTAATAAAAGTTACTTCTTATATTATTCTCTATAATTTTTGTTTAACACAAAATTTTCCTTAAATGGCCCGTATTTGAGAAATTTGACAAAATGTAAAAAACTCAAATTTTTTTGAAAATTGTTTGAATAAAAGTTGTTTTTGATATAATTCTATATAATTTTTGTCTCTTACATAATTTCTCTAAAATAAACCGTATTCAAGATATTTGAGAAAATGTGTAAATTTCGAATTTTAAAGAAAACTCGAAAACAGATAAAGAAAAACACATTTAATTTTAAACTTAAGCTTTATTCCGGCCTGAGGTGAACTGATTAGATTTTGGGCAGAGTCGGAATATGTGGGGGGTATTTTGTAGGGTTCATTTTTATATTTTATGAAATATATCTGTTATTTACGTTTGGAGAAAAAAATTCTTTAAATAAAAGTTATATCTAATATTATTCTCTATAATTTTTGTTTTACAAAAAATGTTCTTAAAATAGTCCGTATTCGAGAAATTTTTCAAAATATAAAAATTCTGATTTTTAAGAAAACTGTTGAACTAAAAGATGTTTGCGATATCGACCTTTATAATTGTGTTTTCTACACGATTTCTGTAAAATGGACCGTAATGGAAAAATTGGAGGAAAAGTGTAAATTTAAATTTTTCAGCATTTTCGTTGGCAATGAGCGTGTATAGAAAAATGTTTCGAGTTAGATGTATGAGGAAAATGTATATATTAAGTTAACCTCTAAATATTTGCAGAGGTGCTACAATAGGTTGTACAAAATAACCGAAAGGAGCCTGTAATAACTAGATAGGAAAGTCATGTGTTGGACACATCAGATTTTTATGAATATAAAATACGTGATATTGAATTTAAAGGCGATAAATACAAGCTGGTTGTGGCGATCCTAAATCTACAATGTTAATAAGCTGCTTGCATAAACGATTCAGAAACCTGTAAATAATAACATTACCAAACAGTTCTGCATTTTTGATAATCTAAGATAATCTAAAATAAGCTAGAACAGCATCAACCATCAGTCTATTTTCAATTACTTTAAAATACTAAGAATTGGTACAATTTTTGATAATAATGATTATATTATGGCTGCATTTTTTGATATCAATCAAAAGATCTAGAATAATAAATGTTTTACGAATAATTATAAAAAGAAATATTTGGAAAATGCAAATAGTAATAAACGAAGAAATTTATAATCTGACCAAAAGTTTACTTACATCTGTGACACCAGAAGATAAAATATCCTTGCCAACTTCTGCTACTGTAAGGCAGCTTTTACAATTTGGTTTATTTGCTGCATAAGTGAGGCTGATGGCTAAAAATGTAAAAAAAATAAAATAACATAATAAAAAAATATAAAATTTGAATTAAGCTGATTATATGTAGATTTGAAATGTCTGCCTTGAAATTCGATTCCAAAAGTATAAGCAAATCCATAAATTGGGTGAGTTTATCATTATAGACAAAAACAAACCATTTCAATAGATGTTAAAACTACTATACCAACTTACCAGCTAAGAAAAATATCCAAAGTCCTAAACACTTCATGTTATCTCCTAAAGATTTACGTGGTTTATTAGAAAAAATTCAACGTTTGACTGAGATTGTTAATTTGTGCTTTACCAGTTTTGTTCAAAAATTAAAACAATACACAATTATAAAAAGAATCTGCGTGGGATATTTGTGAAAACTTTAGTAAGTGTTTTTGAAATATATCGAATTTTAATTTTATTTTTAATCAAAACTTTCATAATTAATATTTCCGAGATATTATTTCAAAAAAAAAATAACGTTGTGAAACACGTTCTACTCGTGTACGTTTATATATAAGAGCAAATTACCTGTAAATACAAAAAAAATATCAACTTAAATATGGTAATATTGGATATTCTCTCTTGAAGGTTTCGTGATAATAATTTTTCTACGATCCCTATTGTATATCCTTCGAGCTAAGTAACGCTAAATGCACACGACGTATCGTTTACCGTGCTGCGAAGTTTACGCAGTGACGTGCGGCATTGAAATACACTTTTCTAATTTTCACATATGAAGTGACATTTTTTGTAATCGCAGCAAGTGTCAAAATAATATATTTTACCTACGTAACCAGTTGCAGAATGTTGAACATTGTGAAACTAATTACAAAAAATTCATTATGTCACCAGTTGCGAAAACAAAAATAAACCGATTTTGGTTTTAACATCAATATATTATACATTATTATTAAGAGTTTATACCAGCTTATAAAAAAATGTCTTAAACTTATAAACACATTTATGTTGATTTGGTCCTTATTTTCCATTCGAAATCAGCACAAAATAATTAAAAGACAATACACGACAAAATAACCCACTTTCTGTAAAACTAAATAACTTTAAGAAGGAATATAAACACACTTTAAGTCGTTGAGAAAAATTTAATATAATTTTCTTTTTGTCAATGAAATGAGTGAAGTTTTGCATAGGCAACTAACAATACAAGAAAGTAATATTGGTTGCCTAGATGTCAGTAATGTTTTACCAAAACATTTTATCTAGTCAACATTTAAAAAAAATGTATGTAACTGATTGCTTACATAATTATTATTTAAACAGTGAAATTCACATGAACTTCCAATTAGCAGTCACTACAAATACATGATTTTGATACATGTAACTTTAAGGTTCACTAATAAAAATTGTTTTTCTAAAAAATGACAAAAACTTTACCAAAAGCGGAACTTTATTTTATGTCTTAACCATATAGGTTAAAATGTAAAAGCTAGAAAATGCCGACAATGAACTAGTTTTGTTGCCACTGCATAATTCTACTTGTATTTGCTATGATTGTGTTATCATAACTCTTCCACCCTTAGAGGAGAATCCGGGGGCTGGCCTCTGGATTTTCTTCCTTGGGGGGCTCTTCTTCGATGAATTCTTCCTATGTTTTCTATATGAATAAATGGAAAAAACAAACAAAATGCGATAAAAATATAAAATATGTTTTACTCTTTGTTTTTGAAAATTTAGAAAGTCTTTTAGAATGGTTAATTGTTCCAAATCAATACTGTTTAATTTAATAGGTTTAAGGTAAATAGGATTTTTATTATTAGAGTTTTTAATATTAACTTTAGGAAGTTCTAATTTTAAATTCACTTTTTGGCAGTTTATTGCTACGTAGAACTATTTTACCTATTCTAAAACTACACTTATTGATTAATTCTAACAAAAATCTTCCTTCTAATGTGACATTGTCATTGTCTTGTCCGCAGATTCTTTGGGCCACTGTGTTCTGAGGTAAAATGATCATCCATTTATTTTGACGAATTTTTATGTCCACAATGTCGAGAGGGATGGTTTGGCAGTTGGTAAGGTTCTTGGAAAACCTCAACAATAAAACTTCGCAGGGGGCGACTTCTACTGAAGTTGGTAGGTGCCTCTCAAAGTATGTGTTAGGTACTGATTCGTGACAAGTAAACCCTTGATTACTATTTTTTTGACATTCTCAGTCAAATAACATGAAATTTTGCTCTTTTAGGATAAGGAATTTCGAATTTGGAATAATCATTTAGAAAAGGTTGCTTTTAGTAGTGGGTAAAGGGAAAAGATGATATAAATCGTAATGTTCTTTCTCCACAATTGGGATTTCTATAATAAAAATAATTTTATTTCTTTACTATAACTTTTAATTTCCATTATTTTTTCGAATTTAAGTATATTGTTTAAAATTGATTCAAATGGTAATTTGTTTTTTATTTAGAATCTATTATCGAATTATGGAAAACATTTATTTTGGAAAATGTAATAGAAATTTCAATTTTTAGACACTTGCAAAAGTTTGTTTATTTTACATTTGAGCGATTTCTAAAATGTGTTCTTTTTTGTTTATTTAAGATTATAATTTTAGTTGATTGTGAGCTAAGGCTTTACTACTTTTAATTAATATGTCTAAAGAATTTTCAACTAAGGTAATTTGTTCATTAATTAAAGATATCATCTTTTTTTGATTTTTCGAAAGATTTTCTATGGCTTTGTCATATTTTTCGGCGTCGTTTTCACCTAAATTTCTAGATATTGATTTAATTATTGTACCTAAACCATTAAGAAGTCCACGTTTGTCTCTATGGGTTTGTACAAGTGATTGATGGGTTTAATTGATTGATTTGGGTAATAATTTTATTTTTTAATATAGTTACTATTTGAAATATAACAAATATGTCCTCAGAATTTGACTTGATCTGGTTTATAATTTTATTTTTGTTATCGCTTGTAGTCAATTATGTTTTGAGTCTTTTCTAATTTAAGAGTTAAAAGTCCAGGATTGTCGGTAATATTATGAATTGTTGGTTGAATCAGTTTGCAGTTTGTGAAGCTGATGGTTGCGATAAACCTATAACGAAAGGGTTTTTAAGTTCTATAATGTGAATATTTCTGGTTTATTATTGTGATGATTATTAATTTCTGCTTTATTTGTATTTAACAACCCGACTTGAAATTCTTCATTTGAATCTTCTTGAGTATTGAGTTTAGAAACTAACTTTTCATTTTTTTTTTATTCTAATTTTCCTTTAAAATTTTTATAAACATATTCCAATTTTAGTTTATGACTTTAGTTTAGTTTATGATGGCAGGCAAAAATATTTCAATATCATTTGGGTACATTGATTTAAGTATTCTTAGGTGACCCAACTGTTGAATCGCCTCTAGGAATTTTGCTAGACTCGAAATTGGTATTTCGTTGATCTCTTTATCTCTCCTCTGGTTTGGATAAGCAACTCAGGGAAAAACTTTTACAGAATGGACCGTCGTACATGACAATATTAAAGGTCTCCATCCACCAAAAATCAACTCGGAAGTGAGACGTCTCTGTTCCTCCAAAGAACTTAAGTAAGAGTCTTATTTGGAACATATACAGTCTTGTTTGGGTAAGGGATTAAGTGCTCTTCGGGCAGCTCTGAATAACGTTTTGCAGATGCCAGCCCAACAATCATCCGGATGCTTGAGACCTCTGGCTGATTCATCAAAATTGCTCACACATACACATTACCTTACATCTCTGCATAGAAGACATGAATTAGAACCCAAATTGAAGCCAGAGATGAGGAAAATTGCTCGTGAAGGTAAAATTGAGAATAACTTATTTAGAACCGACGTGACAAGAAAGCAAAGTTGTCTAGATTTTAAAAAGAACTGGCATGGAATTAAAAGCATTTGTTGGTCATTCCAACATATCTTTAAACTGGAAAACTGATCCTCGCAGGGGAAAGATAAAATTATCCACATACACTCTCAAAAGAGACAGGTCTTTCCCACAACGTCATCAAAGAAAAACGTCAATTCAAGAAACAGAGGACAACGAAGACAGATACATGCAAAGACGAACCAACTTCGGCCACTCGACCAGGAAGTTGCATAGGAAGAGCTTGCAACCCAGGTCCTGCACTCGCCAGTATTAGAGGTACTCTATGCAGGTAGCCTTAAACGATTTTTAACCAATTGGAAAAGTTAACAAGCAATAGTTTAATTTTAAATAGTATTTAGGGTTATAAAATGCCTTTTATAAAGACCCCCCCAATTATTCCAGAAAGTAGAATTTAACTCTGTAAACTGTGACAAGGACTTGACTGTAGCTAATCGGCAAATATTGAACATTGGTGCAGTATCATTATACAATAACAAATCAAAGGGATTTTTCTCCCAATATTTTTTAGTCACCAAGTATAGTGGGGAAAACGATTTGTATTGAACCTAAAACATTTAAATGAACACATATCCCCTCCCCACTTTAAACTGGGTGTGTCAAAACTCTTATCATCTTATATGGTATCCTTGGACTTCAAAGATGCTAATTTTGGAATACCATTATTAAAAAATTTCGCAAATTTTTGAGATTCAAATATAAGGACATGATCTACCAATTTAACGTTTTGCCGTTTGGACTTATTTTCGCTCCTTACCTTTTCACCAAAATACTAAAACCGGTCATTCAAAGGGCATTATTGTTCTTAATTACTTAGATGATTTCTTACTAATTGGGGAATCACAAAGAAATTGTATCAAAAATCTTAAATATACTGTACAATTGCTACAACATTTGGGCTATAATAAATTAAAAAAAAAAGCAGCTCAATTCCAAATTAGATACCTGATTAAATTTTTATTTTAATATAGAATAAATCATTTCATTGCCCCAAAACAAAAATTGAAAGTATTATTCATCATATTAATTCCTTATTAGCTCTCAGTACATGTAAAATTCGCAAATTTGCTAAAAGTATTGGTACCTTAATTTCTATATGCCCACCTCTTAAATATGGCTATCTCTACACAAAGATTCTAGAGAGAAAAAAATACCTTGCCTTAAAAAAAGAGAGGAGTAGCTATAATGGCCGTTTAACATTAGATGACCAAATTAGAGCAGAGCTTGAATGGTGGTTTCGTGCTATACCTATATCCAGCAATTCCTTAAAAAGAGCATAAGTATAAATTAGAAATTTATTCAGACGCATCTACCTAAGGATGGTAAATATGCTGTGATGGCGAAAAATGTCATGGTTTTTCGACAATGGAGATGAAAAACTACCACATGAACTATCTTGAGTTAATGGCCTGCTTCATTGGCCTTAAAAGCTTCGCTAAAATTAAAAGATCCTGTGCAATTCTTTTACGAATTGATAATACAACAGCTATCTCATACATAAATAAAATGAGAAGTATC